AAAAAAAAAAAATTCAAGGAAGTAATGTTCCTCTCCCAAGGTGCACTGCAAAACATTCTTGGTAGACATGGAAACCCCTGGCAGGCTGCCATCGCTTGGCCAGCCTCCACATTAAATTTCAGCGAGCAACTCAACACTTGAATGGCTTTTAGAGAATTTAAAGGGAAACAGCAGCCGCGGATGGGCGATGCAGCTGCTGCTCCCCATAGGCAAGCATTGGGGGTGTTCCCGACTTTGCCTTCAGCTCTGCGGGAAAGCTCACCGTGCTTCTGCGGTACATGGGGCAGGCAAGTTATAACGGAGCAAGCTGGAAAAAAAAAAAAATGCAGCCTCCACACTTCTTCTACAAAGGAGGTTTCTCCTACAAAGGAGGTTTCCTAGCCACAGTCTGCAGGGATGGAGGGAAACCTTCTAATACCTAAAGGGGAGCTGCAGAGATGAAGGGAAAAAACATTTCACCGTCTTCTGGGGATTAAAATGCAGCCAAAGGTATTTAGGATGATCCATTCTTCCCTTTCTCCTCGCTCCCAGCTCTCCTCCCCTGCCCCGAGGCTGTCCCTTCTTTGCTCATGGTTAAGCTGAAGAGTGATGGGGAACTGGGAGCCTGGTCTCCCCAGAAATTGCTAAACAGCCATGAGAGCAGGGAAACACACGGGCTTGGAACTTTGCTGCTCTTGGGAGAAAGTGCGGAGAGCAGAGAAAGCCTGCAGCTGATTGCTGGAGGGCATGGGGGACCTGAAGGTGGTGGGACAGAAATGATCCCACACTTGGGCAGGAAAAGAGACCCTCCATATTCCCCCAGATCCCCAATTTAAACTCATTCAAGAACATGCATCCTGCATAGCAAAGGGTTATTTCTGTCTAAACGTTGTTACCCTGCTCAGTGCCCATCACCATGTCTTCAAGGTGCTTTGAAGCCCATGGAGGAAGGGAAGCACTGTGCACCCAGCAGAATGAGTGGTGTAACAGCTCTGTGACCTGCACAATTGTTACCCACAGGTCCAGTCGCAGATTTCCACCAATAGTGCCTGCAAACAGGTTTACGACGTGTAAGTATAAGCTGAAAGAGGGTAGATTTAGAGTAGACATTGGGAAGAAATGTTTTCCTGTGCTGGCGGTGAGGCAGTGGCCCAGGGTGCCCAGAGCAGCTGTGGATGCCCCATCCCTGGAGGGGTTCAAGGCCAGGCTGGATGAGGCTTTGGGCAACCTGGGCTAGTGGGAGGTGTCCCTGCCCATGGCAGGGGGTGGCCCTGGGTGGGCTTTAAGGTCCCTTCCAACCCAAACCATCCTGGGATTCTAAGATAAGTGATCATGAGCACATGCAGGACACACAACTTCTCTCTTCAGAGGCCTTCTCACAAAAGACATTTGCATTAAAAATCTCTGTGAAGTTCCAGCTACTTGGCAGATATCTTAGAACGGTTTGGGTGGGAAGGGACCTTAAAGCCCACCCAGTGCCACCCCCTGCCATGGGCAGGGACACCTCCCACTAGCCCAGGTTGCCCAAAGCCTCATCCAGCCTGGCCTTGAACCCCTCCAGGGATGGGGCATCCACAGCTGCTCTGGGCACCCTGGGCCACTGCCTCACCGCCAGCACAGGAAAAATGTCAATAAAGCCAAAATAAAGCAAGGAGACTCAGTTCCCTGCTCTCTTCTTACATGCTCAACACATTTCCAGGGAGATCAGACCTCCAGTCCCAAGTGTCTTTTCATCCGTTTCCCATCATTCCAAACACAGGCAGATAAGAAAGAAGCCCCAGGGCAGGGGACAAGATGAGGCAGCCAAGAGCCACGTCCCCTTTCAGTGGTTTGACCCCTGGGGCTCCTGCTGCGGCTCTGAGCAACCTCACACCGTTCAGGACCACAACGTTCTCCCAAATGGCATTATCATGCTTTTGCACAGTGAAACCGCAGCAATTGGCGAGGTGACATGTTTAGCAAGAGCCACATTTCGTTTCTTTCCCAAGAGGATGCAAAAGACACGAGCTATAAATAGGAAGCTGACAAGTTTAACAACTCCTGTGGTTTCACTGAAAAATTGGTGGTCATCCGCTCATCGGTGAGTACATAACGGCACGTGCAATGTGGGTGATGAGTAACCTTATCCGGTGAGGGGTCATTGCTGTTAGGCCTGCACAGAGGGGGGAAAAAAAAAAGAAAAAAAAAAAAAACAAAAACAAAAACAATTTCCCCTCCCTCTGCAGAGCCCATTTCCTCATTGCTGCTGAATTCAGAAATTTTGCAACATTTCTTTTTTCTCCCTCTACAAAATATCCAACTGGAGGGATCGGGTCACCAAATTAGAAGTAGATGTTTGCATTTAAAGAGTTTGATTCTCTTCCTTGTCATGGAAAAAAAAAAATTCAAAAAGAAATTAAAAAGAACTCTGAAAGCTTAAAGGAATAGAAATGTCAGAAATTAAAATCCCAGCAGGAGATTCTGCTCTGACCTACTCCAGGTATTTTCAAATCATCCCAAAAAAAGAAATTGAAATGAAGCGCTGAAAGGTCTGGAGTCTGCAAAAAACTACTTTTTTTTTTTTCTTCCCCTGAAAATAAAGGAGACACGATTCACTGACCCATATATAGTATAAAAAATCTGGAGGTTGGGAAAAAACAACACACGATCAGGTTTGTTTGTGCTATTTTTGCAAGAGCTCTTGGCACAAATATTTTCCAGCCATGGTTTGATGCCACGGCAGGCAGTTCATGAC